CCCATGTTATCACAACACTGCTTGCTAGCAAAGTTTAAGATTTAATATGCTCTTCACAGAGATAGAAATCTATTGTGACGGTAGCACACGCTGACGCGATCAAGAACGGCACAAGTCTAACGTTACTGGTTTATTTTTTTCACGTCAAGCGATCTTTACATTGTTTTGTATACGCTAAGCAACGCAAGGCACCGAATGGTGACGTAGTGCACATCGTGTGAGCATCAATTCAGTTATGGCATGTCGTGGTGCATCCAGTGTGATACCTAACTCAACACCAGAGCTTCCCACACAGAAAAGAGAATGGTATTACTTTTCGGGCAAAAGGAAAGTTTAATTTGAGGCATTCCCATATTTAACTCTTCTTAAAATAGCCCAGAAAGATAAAGTGCTCTGATAAACAGTGTCAGCTTTGCACATGAGTTTGCTGTTGTGTCTTTATTTACATTGTTACTTTATTGTTTACTTTATTGTTTATGTACTTTATTATACATTGTTTACTTAGTAGGGTGGAATCTGTGCAATATATTATGCAAATAAAATAAATTTTGATAAATAAAATTATTCTTAAAAGTCACATTATTGCATGTGCTGTGAAGAAAAGGACCAATAACTCCTTATTTCTGCGACGTCCCTACATTGTCCTGCTAATAATATCATTGTGGATCAACAGCTCAATGGAAGGTGATGCAGAAGAAGCCTCTTCTGTATTCTTCCAATGAGAAGAGTTCTTTGAGGTATGCAAAGGCTCATTTGGACAAGCCTGAATCATTTTGGAAAAATATAGTGTGGACAGATGCCACAACCATAAGGGCTTTGCATTAAGGAAAAAGAATACAGCATTCCAGGAGAACCTGCTCCCTGTTGTAAAATATGGTGGAGGTTCCCTCTTGCTGTGCGGATGTGTGGCAAGCACAGGTACTAGAAACCTTTGCAGAGTTAAATGTTGCATAGATTCCACCAAGTATCAGCAGACTCTGAAGAACAATGTTCAGGAATCAGTCAAGAGGCTGAAGATATGACAGAGTTAAATGATTAGGCAGGACAGTGACCCAAAGCACAGCTCCAGATCTACCAAGGCTCAGACATGATACATTGTTCTAGAATGGCCATCCCAGTCCCCAGACTTCAACGTCATCAAAAATTTATTAATTGATTTGAAAAGGGCCATTCATGCTCGGCAACCAGCAGATCTGACTGAACTGGAGAAATTGTGCAAGGAAGAATGATCCAAAATGCCTTCAGCAAGAATTCAGGCACTTATCCTTGACTATAAGAAGCATCTACCAGCTGTTATTTCAGCAAAAGGTGGATGTACAAAAGATTGATATCTTTGTTTTGTTGGCGTGCCCAAATTGTTGCACCTGCATGTTTTTGTTATGACTTAAATTGTGTTGCATCTGTTAATTAAATACATGCTATATTAGAACTAAAATGTTGATTTTTTTTTTACCCTGGGGTATAAAATAGATCCAAATTAATTTGCTGATATGAAAGGACAGCAGGTTATGGCTTGCAATTATGAAACCTGTGAGGGTTGGCCAAACTTGTGAACCTTAAGTAACAATTTATTGCAGAATAAATGTAAACAGAATATATGTCAAGCAGGTAAAGTCTGTTCTCTTGCATATGATCATCAGCGGAACCATAATGGAATGGGCATCATCTTCATGATCATCAGTCTACTGTCCACAGATGAGATCGGAAAAAACACACAACCAGGAGGGAAACACACTAGGAAGAGACACAAAGACACAGTAGGTACACTTCGAGCAGACAAGGCAAGTATAACTCAGAAAACAGGAATTAACTGACCTTAGATTTCGTCCTTCTCAGTGCAATGAGGCCAGACGCGGAGTGAGGGATCATGCGGATATTCATGGGCTGGAGTGACAAGCGTGAGATGATATACAGGTGCGCTGGTGATTAGTATTTGGATGATGGTGAATGGGGTGATTCAAGTGACCAGGGACAATTCGAGACTGGCAGGGGTACAAGTTTACCTGTTGGTAGGTTCGAGGAGTTTTTGAAATGGCATACTCCTTGCACCCCTGCATGAACCTTCTCACATCCTGGGACATTACCGGTCACTAGAAACAGTCTCTCAGTAGTGAGCAAGTCTCGTCGGCCCCAGGGTGGCCAATGCACAAAGAGAAGTGTGCGGATTCAATCAGTGACAGACATTGTGTCCAATCAGGGACAGACTCATTCTTCTGTCCAAACAAGGTTTGCCACAGAGTAGACCGGTAAATTGACTGGTGATGCTACTGTAGCTTCGAGTGAATTTCTGATAGAAGTTGGCAAACACAAGGAAACGCTGGAGTTCCTTGATAGAGTTAGGCTGTGTCCAAGAAGAGATGGCTTCCATCTACCTCTCATCCATCTTGACCGCGGCTGCTGAAATGATAAATACAAGGAAGTGGATAGTTCCCCCATAGAAATGACATTTATCTGCTCTCAGAAACAAATTATACTTACAGGGACGGGACAAGACTACTCTCACATGATGTTTATACTCTGCTGGATCTCTAGAATATATCAAGATGTCATCAATGTACACAAGAACTGACTTGTAAAGGAATTTGCAATGTTCCTCATTCATGAAGTCTTGGAAGACAGAGGGGACGTTAGCTAGTCCATAGGGCGTCACCCTATATTCATAATGTTTTCCACTCATTGCCCCCTGGATTCTGATAAGGTTAAATGCACTTCTGACATCAAGTTTGATGAATATACAAGCCACACGTAGAGGTTCAAATGCAGCTGAGAGTAGGGGAAGTGAAAAACAGTTCTTGATGGTGAGATGGTTTAGAGTCCGATAATTGATAAAGGCTCTAAGGTACCGTTTACACTAACGCGTTTTCATTTTAAAAGGCATATGTTTTGCTACGGTTATGCTATCCATCCACACTATGCCGGAGTTTTCGAGCGCCGAAAACGGTGCGTTTAGAAAATGCTGGAGAGGCCGTTTTTATTCTAAAACGCTGCTGCTCCGTCTCTGTGTGGATGGTTGAAAACTGAGACATCTGAAAACAGAGGTGGGGCTACAGACATTCGTCTATCTGATTGGGGCTTTTTCAATTCAATTCAATTCAGCTTTATTTGTATAGCGCTTTTACAATGTAGATTGTGTCAAAGCAGCTTCACATAAATGGTCATAGTAACTGGAACAGTGTAGTTCAGTTTTTAGTGATTAAGTTCAGTTTAGTTCAGTTTAGCTCAGTTCAGTGTGATTTAATCATTACTGAGAGTTCAAACACTGAAGAGCAAATTCATCGATGCGTAGCTCTACCAATCCTGAACCATGCGAGCCAGTGGTGACAGCGGAGAGGGAAAAAAAACTTCACCTGATGGGAGTGAAGAAAAAAAACCTTGAGAGAACCAGACTCAGTTCGGCACGACCATTTTAATTTCTCCGCTGGCCAAAAGTCTTGTGCAGAGCTTCAGTCACCGCGGTGGGCTGGAAGATGGCCTCAGCGAAGACTCGTATGTCCCTGGAGCGTCACTGGAATCAGTCTCATGTTCTCCACTTCCCATGACCATCAGCGCAGCAGCAGCTCAGGATATGGCCTGGTCCAGGATATGGAAACCTTGAGATCATCTCGTCGCTGGTCTTGGATCCAATCAGTGACTCCACATAACCTTTGAGGCTTTTCCTCAATATTAAGTAGCCTAAACACACAGTTCAGTCTCGCATCCTCTCCCTGTAAGTTCAGACTTCGCAAGTTTGATATGGAAAACAGACCCACGAGGACATGTCCGATAAATCTTCAAAGGGAACATTGTACTTTATAACTTCATTCACATCACCCTGGCTATGTTGTTTCACTTTCTCAACAATAAAATGAATACATGATTTAAGGAACTGCTATTTTCATTTTGATATTAACAACTTAAGAGAAAGCAGAAATACTAAGGCGTTATGCTGCTTCTTCACTGTATGCATATTTATAATAAAACAGAGCCTCTGTAACATCACTGCCTCCTTTCATTTTCATTGAAAATACAAAACGTATCCTCTGCTTTGCTGAATGTCAGTTTTAATAATCAATAAAAGCCATTATGAAAGTATAACGCATAATAAGTTTTTACATTACATTAAATAAAGGGAAGCGATCATTCATTATACAGAATGTACGTGCTTACATTAATTATTAACTTATCTTTGCACTCAGCCAAAACATGTTACCTGTAAACAAGTAATCAATTCAAAAGACCAAAGTCAGGGAATAGGTCGTCAGATATAGACAAAATTAATTAAATATCACGTTTAGCAAATATAGTGAGATTAGATCCAGCGGGAGATGCTGGATGAGCAGTCCGACCAGCAGAGGTCTCATCTTGGTAGAAATGCTGCAGCGCTTGCCCGAGAGTGTGTGTGTGATCACGTGATGTGCGTTTTCAGCGTTTTGGTGTGGACGGATTGCTGTTTAGAAACGCTGGGTAAAACGCAAGTGTGGACGCGGATCATTTTCATTCTAAAATGCCATTTTAAAACTAAAACGCCCTAGTGTAAACGAGGCCTAAGTCTCTCATCTGTCTTGGCCACAAAGAAGAAGTTGGAAACAACAAGGGACATTGAGGGACAGATGAGCTAAAGCCTCTACTACGTTCTCACTAATTTCCTTTCTTTTAGGAATGGAAAGAGGTAAACGTGTCCATGGGGCACATCAGGTCAATTGCACAGTCCCATGACCTGCGAGGTGGTAACTGGGTGGCTGTCTTCGGGCAAAAAATACCTTTGGAAATCCTTGTTGCAGTGAGGAATCTTTTTGGAACACTTCATGTTCAACAGGATTCTCTATGGAGGCTGTAAACACACACATAGAATTATCAACTTTCTTTACAGGACATTCTGAAATACATTCTTGGAAACATTCTTTTCCCCATTTTAGGGCCTCGCCTGTACCTCACGAGAGCTCAGTGTTTTGCTTAACCAATCACAGTCACCCTAAGTTAATGTTTGCAGTGGAATCTCCAAAACCAACAAATCAATCTTTTTTTTTTTTTTTTTTTTATGAAACAGACTCACTCATAGTTGAACAGAATCCACAACTGTGATGACGATTTAAGGGCTTTCCGATGATGGACTATATGTAATAGCTCTTTTCAGAGGACCTACTGTTATAGCGGAGTTGACAATAGTGAGTGCCAGAGATTAAATTGTTGGCTGACAGACCCTCTCTGCTTCGGTAAGCTTTCCTTGGTTTAGATTAGAGGTTTCAGGACCTGGGTCTGGAGAGGTCGAGGAAACCAGCTAACGGAGGAGTTTTTTCTGGTTGTAAATCTCTTTGCTACAGGCTTCCATCTGTGCTGAACATTGAAAGGAAAACTGGATTACGTTTTCCAGACCAAATGTATTGTCATTGGCTGATAACTGCATTCTCAGAGGTTCCATCCTCTGATAGTAGGTGGTTGAACAGCTGAAAACCACTTTGAAATATTCGGTAAAATGCTTGATAAATTGAGTTACCGGTCCTCTTTGAGCCCATAAGGTTTCTGCCTATTGCAGTGCCTTTCCTGTAAGCAGATAGATTATAAATGTGATCTTGGAAGCATCAGTCATAAACAATAAAAGTTGCATTTCAAAAACAAGTGAACACTGAAGTATAAACCGATTGCACTCCTCCACCAGGCCTGAGTGGGGCCCGGGTGAGCCATGGGACTGGCACTGACCTGTGTCGAAGAAGACATGGGAAATACGGAAGTGCTGGTTGCTGGTGGTGGGTATAAGTAAACAGTTTATTGCAGAATAAATGCAAACAGGATTTAAGTCAAGTAGGTAGTTTGTTCTCTTGCAGAGGGTGATCAATGGAAACATGATGGAATAGACAGGAGACTGATGGCATTGATGGACACAAATGAAATCAGGAGACACACAACCAGGAAGGAAACTCACTATGAAGAGACACAACAACACTGTGTACACTTGGAGCAGACACGGTAAGTATAACGTAGAAAACAGGAATTGACTGACCATATATTTTTTCTTTTTTGATGCAACAAGCCCAGACACTGCGTAAGTGAGCGTGCAGGTATTTATGGGTTGGAGTAAAGAAAGTGGGATGACATTATACTCACTCATTTCTGGTCTCAGTCCTCCTGTGACAGAAGGCCGGACCAACACAGAAAATAAGCAGTGGAGACCCATTCCAAGCACTCGTGGATTCACAGAAACAAGTGCTAGACAGCGAATGGGGTGAATTATGTGATTGAGTGAGGAGAATCTGGCCTGGCTGTGACAGTAGGCTTCTATAGCATATAATAATTTAGTTTTTTACATATAGTATTGCATTACTTTGCATACATTTTTATAATTTTCACATCTATAAAATTATAAAGCCTCAGTTTGTTGTGGAGCTATCATGCAAAAATCATTAAAGTAGATAATTGGATTTGTTTTATTTGTAGATTATGTAGGCTATTTTAAAAACTGATGTTTTATAAGAATTATTAATAACTGTAATAACCTAATTACATTTTCCAAATAGTTGGTTGTACACTAAATCATAAAAACTATACAGGGGTGATAGTGTTCCGGCACCACGCCGGATTTCCGGCGTACTGTGGCTGCAGGAAAAAAAAAAATCAGGTTCACGGATATTGATCTGTCATTTCTCTAGATTCACAGAATTCACTCACTGCTGAAGGCGCCGGATTGGTTTTTATTAAGTGCCATTTTGTGTGCTCGTGAATCATCTTTTGAGTGTAAATGCCATGTAAATAAAAGATTAATTGTGTAATTTAGAGAGCTTTATAAATTATAACGGATCTTTGTGAGATCTCTATGAACTAAGATTAGTGACGCTTTTTAGTGATAATAAGAGGAGCGTGCTTTGCACTTTCCAGGCTATAATCCATTCAGAATTGTATGAAACTTTTGTTTTCGGCACATATACGCTGATATGTTTTGGGAATGACATCTGCATATTTACGCTGGGTTTATTCTCGAAATAACGGTGAAGCAATAGACGGGACAAAAATATATTTCCCCCTTCTCCTTAAACAACTTAGTGTTTCAGCTATGAAATAGTTCAGTTTTGTATGTAGCCTAATGGCAAACTGTTTATATTTAGTTTCGTTTTTTATTCAGCTTATTTAGAAAAACGTTTGGAGCATTTTTTATTCGTTAAAAATAAGGTTTTTTTTTAACGAACAGCGCCCAGCGGAAGACCATCATTGTCTGTTTGATCAGTTTGCCTCCTCAGATCATCACGACTTGCCTAAAATAAAAGATATAAAACAGTTCAAGTATAAAACAATGGTAGCTTAAACGTTAAAGAATGTGTGCTATTAGGCGCATAGTTTGCTTATAAAAAGCTTGCAGGACATCGAGGCGCCAGAGCAATCACTTGCATTTTTTCAGTGGGAGCAATTTAAAGTTATCCGTCATTTTTGCTCACAAAGTACGAGTAATACATCAATAAACGTTACAGCGTTTTTATAAAATAAAGAAAACCAAAATTATGCGCTTTCTGTCGTCTGGTTTTTGAACTGGAGCGCTTAACAAAATGAAGCAAAATGTATATGCCTCACAGACATAATAAATATATTTATAGAAAGCTTTAAATTATTACTTAACGAAATAAAACAAATTGAAAACAAAAAAAAACTCTTGTAAAAAGAACTCATGTAATCCGTAAAGATGAATTTCTCTCTAAAGGCGAGTCCAAGAGGAGATTTCCAGTCAGGATCTTTGCGACACTGACTCAGAATAAGTTTATTAATAAATAATTAAGATATGTCCTTACTCTTTCCTCGACACATTCATTGTTATTTGTTTTTGCCGGTGCTTGGGGCGAGTTTTAGCTTATAGTGTGCGCTTGAACGCGGATTCACAGTAGCAGTTTTAACATGGAGTGACACGACATCTGACGTACAGATGACACTGGCACATGCCACTGAGTGTAGTGACACTTCCGGTGGCACGTCCGGTTTTCCACTGTCATGTGTCACTCGCTAGTGGCATGTGTAGTGACCTGTGTCACTCAGAGTGTCGCGCTGCATGTCACTGCAGTGACATCGACACCCGGCGAAGCTTATGACATTAATTAACACGAGCAAAACCATATTTAATCATTACGCGACTTTAAACCTAATTTATCGCGTCGCAAGTTAGTTTATTTGCTGAGCTACTCCACAATGTTTTAATTTAAACGCATTTATTTTATGTATTCGTAGTCATACTTCCGTACGTAATATAGTCATTTGACAGTACATGTCAGTCAAATTTATTGTGGCATGCTTATGTATGGGAGGGGTTACACTTATCTGTTGTACTGTATATTATTGCATCCTGGCAGTTCCTTTGTTCCCTACAATATGGACTTCTCTATGTTTTTAATTCATTCATTTATTTTATTATTTAACTTATTTTCATTTTAAGGTATTTTAAATAATATCCTTTAAAAGGTTATAATAAAATGCATGTTGAAAACTCATAACATATATGCATGTAAGATAACAGGTGTCATTTGCCTAATGATTTTTAAATATTAAAGCAAAGAGACTTATAAGATTAATGTGCTTATAACGTGCTTATACTGAAACCTACTGGCACATGTCACAAGATCACTGACACTGGCATGTGTCACTGACATTACTGGCATGTGTCACTGACATTACTGGCATGTGTCTAAAAAGAGCCACTTGACAATAATGATAATCAGGGTTACACATAGGCTGTTAATATATTTGGGCCCAGGGGCCCACAAGTTATGTGTTAAAAGTGCGTTGCATACATAGTACCCCCACCCCTACTCACCTCAGGGGCAAGGAAAAAAAGTTCAGGCTCAGGAATTTTTTCCACTATCAGCCCTGACTATATCTGTTGCATATATGATGAGCAGTGCTGCAGCGCACCCAGAAAGAAAGAATAATGGGTCCCCATAGGTTGCTTAGGTTCATTGTTCAGATATGTCAACAGGCCCGTAATTTTTATCATAAGTGTCATAAGTGTGCTATAAACAGACAAAAAATTAGGAGATGCTGTTTTTTGGATATAGAATACAATCACTCTTGTATTTATTAACTGATTATAATTTTATGTGGTGTAACGATGGCTCAGTGGGTAGTACAATCACCTCCAGCATGCTGGTTTGAGCCAGCTGGGTCAGTTGGCATTTCTGTGTGGAGTTTGCATGTTCTTCCCGTGTTCGCAAGGGTTTTCTCTGGGTGCTCCGATTTCCCCACAGTCCAATGACAGGGTATAGGTGAATTGGGTAAGATAAATTGGCCATAGTGTATGTGTGTAAAAAGCAGGAGTATATGGGTGTTTCTCAGGGTTGGGTTGCAACTTGAATAGCATCTGCTGTGTAAAACGTGCTGGATAAGTTGGCGGTTCATTCAGCTGTGGCGACCCATGATTAATAAAGGGACTAAGCCGTAAAACAATGAATGAATGAATTAATTAATGAATTTTATGTTGAGAAAAAGTAAGAAAATTCAAACTTATAATGTACATTTCATGGTATGAAGAGATATGTATTCATCACAAGTAGTGCTGGAATGCTTTTTTTTTTTTTAAACGTTTTGCTATTTTTGCTTCCATGCACCTGCTGGAGTGTTACAGTAGTTATTCTAAATCTTAAAGAGAGATAGTGACAGTTAAGAATAACAAACAATAATGCAAGCTGTAGCCCATCTATATAACAGTGAATATTAATCCAAATAAATAAAAACGTAAAAAGTATCGAATTACACTTTATTAAAATAGTTCAAATTCTAGACAATGCTAGACCATGTGGCTGGAGTGTGTCAGCAGTTCTGCAAGACGAAGACATTGATGCTATGGATTGGCCTGCCGGTTCCCCATGCATGAATACAATTTAGCACACCTGGGACACCATGTCTCACCGTGTCTCCAACAACGCCACGTTGCACCTCAAACTTTCCAGAAGTTGGCAGATGCTTTAATCCAAGTCTGGGAGTTGATCACTCCGGATCCCGTTCAATTAGGGTATCTTTCGTTCAATCCTTTTTCAAACAAAAAAAAAAAAGAAAATTTGCTCGTTTTTCATTTGCTCACAATAAATGAAAAAAAAAACTAGATTTTGGCTCGATTTTCGTTTTTTTTTTTTTTTTTTAGGATAGGAAAATGGATAAACGACTTCAAAATTCATTATACACATGTAGGCGCTGCTGAAACACCAGCTTTACTTTGATTGGTCAACCAAATCTGAGCTCTTGCCGTAACCCTTAAAATAAAGCCCTTTGAGGACCAGCACCCATGCTTTTATTTATAATTATATATATATATATATATATATATATATATATATATATATATATATATATATATATATATATATGAAGTTATTCTGTCATGTGATCAGTTAGCAGGCTTACATTAATGACTACATCTTTGACGCACGCGCTGTAAAGCTTTAAAATATAAAAATGTTAGTTATTGCACATTTGTCTTATTCTTCAGTAGATCTGTAAATGATGTATTTTATAAACTGATCATTAAGGACAAAGCTTTTAATAACTGTAATTCTCCCAATGAAAAAGGCTTGATTAAAGTCCTGTCATTTTAAAGATTTTTTACAATTTAAGCAAAATTAGGTTAAAGAGAACTTAATTCAGAAAAATGCGCTGATTTCTGTGCGGATCACGCTTTACAAGCACACTTCCCTTTTTTATTATTTCATGCAATAGTAAATGCATCAAATAAAATGCTAACAGTTGGCAGCACTGAATAGCCAATATGCAATATTTATATCTGCAATATGGAACTAATATCGCTGTATAACATATTTTTTTCACAAAGAGCAAATGTCAAGTTCATCAATAGCGCAACGCACTGACAGCAAGCTCATCTGTTAGTCTGAACTACAACACATTATTTATTATGAATTATAAGTATGTGTTTAATTAGTTAATTTGAAAAAATGTTCATTAATCCAGTGTTTTAGAATGTCTCGAAAGTCTTGTTGTGTGAG